CCCACCGTGCTGGAGGAAAGCTGGTCTGATCCCGCGGGCTTCTCTGTGTCTCTATGGGCCTCAGGCGTGGTATGCGCGGGTATCTCGGGGTCGCTCTGGGCCCCTGGATCTCGGGGTCCCCGCCACACCTGGCTAGTCGCTGGCGGGTCTGGCCACAGGCGTCTCTGGCCGCGGCGGCGGGTGCCCCGCAGGCTTTTCCTGGCGGCTCGGGGCCCATGTCTCTGGAAGCTTCTCTGCTGCAGAAGCGTTGTCCCGGCCAAATCCTCTTCCTATTTCACCCGTGTACTTTCCTCAGGATGCGAGGTCCACTGGCCACCTGGCCCCCGCGGGAGAAGTACGAGGACAGCGAAAGCTAGGATGTCCGCAAGTCGGTCAGGTCACGAGAGAGTGCGCCCCCCAGAGAGGCTAGGTCACCGGTAGTAAGGCACAGAACTCGAGACTCGGCTTAGTCTGTGTTACAGCTTTATTAAGTGTCTCTGCTCTCAGTAATTCAGCAGCTCTGCGACCCAGCTCTCTGTGTCCCAGCTTTCTGCGACCCAGCTCTCTGTGTCCCAGCTTTCTGCGACCCAGCTCTCTGTCTATTAAGAGAAGACTAGGATACTTATACCATGGGGGTAGTGGTAAAAGCTTTGGCTGTTAGATGCTTTGTGAGGCATTCTATTTACATATGGAAGTGGATTTCTACCACACTGCTAGACTGTTGACTGCCTGGAAAAATCACAGGAAGGCATGGTATCTTTCAGAGCCAAAGGCCATGTTTATGTTATGGCATTTGTGGCAGACACTTCAAAAGGAGAGACAGAAAAGATGCCAGAAAGGCCACCCTGCTATGAAAGGAGCCCTCAGCACATGATCCTGAGCTGCATGAGCTGTCCGGTCGTGAAGGGACTTCTACTTTACATAACAGAGGTCTTCAACAGTAGCTCAGTGATTCAGCATGCTTACTGTCTATCTTGAAGACTGGAGTTTAGCTCCCAACACCCACTTCCTGTGGCTCACAAACCCCTGTAACACCAGATCCAAAGGATCTGACAACCTCTTCTGTTTGGTCCCACCACCCACATCAGGCAGCTCACAACCACCTGAAACTCCAGCTCCAGGGGATCTGGTGCCCTCTTCTGGCTTCCAAGGGCACCTGTATTCACACACATACCCACACATAGACATACACATTCATATAAATAAAAATAATAAAATGAATCATAAATATACATACAATCATATTAAAATAAATTCTCTACACAGAGCTCAGTAAGACTGATAAAAGCGTCCTAGGGAGGTTTTTGTTTTGTTTTACTTATAACATTGAAACCTCCCACTTGCTTTCTTTTAAAAAAGATTTATTTTTTAATTATGTGTGTGTGCATGTGGGTATGTGCACATGAACACAGGTTCCCTCAAAGCCCAGAGGCAGTGAATCTCCCTACGGCTGAAGTTGCAGGCAGTTGTGAACTGCCCAGCATGGGTGCTAGGAACTGAGTTCAGGTCCTCTGTCAGAGCATTAAGCATTATGGGCAAACTTTTGTTAAATGTTCAGTGATGTTCTGTAAGAAAAGTGAAAACATTAACAGTTGCAGATCATTAAAAATTATTTTGCATTTACTTCTGATACTTTTTTCTACATGTGTGGTATGCATGCATGTATGTGTGTGTATATATATATGTATGTATGTTTGGGACTCATGTGTGTTCAAGTGCATATGCACATGTGTGCATGTGGGTAGAGGCCAGAGGTTGACACAGGATGCCTTCCTAATGTGCTCCATCTTCTATACTGAGGCAGGATCTCTCATTTGAATCCAGAACTCACTGACCCAGCTAGTCTAGCTACCCAACTTCCTCCAGGGATCCCCTACCCCCACCTCCTGAGTGCTGGTACTACAGAGGGGCTGTCATGCCTGCCTGGCATTTATATGGGTGCTGGAGAGCAGATCTCTTGGTCCTTAGAACTGCATGGCAAGCACTTTTACCCATTAAGTTATCTCCCTTGACTGTTTTTGATACTTTTTGTTTGTTTTGTTTTTGAGACAGGGTCTCCCTCTAGCCCCAGCTGGCCTGAACTCACTATGTAAACCAGGCTGGTCTGGATCTCAGAGCTCCACCTGCCTCTGCTTCCCAAGTGCTGCAATTAAAGGTGTGCGCCATCATGCCCAGCTTCATTTTGATACTTTTTAATGTGTGGTTTTTCTTTCTTTCTTTTTTATGGATCTTTCCTTCCTTATATTTATTTATTTTTATATTATGTGTATAAGAATTTTGCCTGCATGCATATAAGTGTACCATATAGGTACAATGCCAATGGAGGCTATCAGACCCCTTGGAACTAGAGTTACAGACGGTTGTGACCTGCCATGTGGGTGCTGAGAACCAAACCTGGATCCTCTGCAAGAGCAACCAGTGCTATTTATTATTTATTTGTTTGTTTGTTTATTTATTTTCTTTTGGGTCTGAGACAGAATCTCCCTGCAGCCCTAACTGGCTTGAAGCTCACTGTTAGATCAGGCTGGCCTTGATTCCACAGAGATCCACCTGCCTCTGCCTACCGAGTGCTGGGATTAAAGGCATGCACCACCACACCCGCAATCTAAACCATCTCTCCGGTCCCTTTCTTTTAAAAGATGTATTAGTTATTTATGTGTATGTGTGTGCATGTGTGTGGGGGGGGTGGTGCATGGAGGCCAGAATAAGGCATCAGGTCCCCTGAAGCTGCAGTTAAATGTGACTGTGAACTACATGATGTGGGTGCTAGGAACTGAAGTCAGTTCTTTTGCAAGAGTATCAAGTGCTCTTAACTGCCAAGCCAGCTCTCCAGCCTGCTTTCTCCCCCCTTGCCCTCTCTTCTTTTTTTTTTTTTAAAGACAGGCTAGCCTCAAACTACTGATCCTTCTGACTCAGCCTCCCAAGTGCTTGATGATTTGAGTAAAAGAAATATAAATTTGCATGTTCACAGCAAATAATAATTACTAAATTACATGTTATGACAATATTCAATTACTTTTTTGAAAAGGGAAGAACTATGCAAACAGTCTTTCACAACACTTCCCCCACCCCTGACTCACCCATCTGCTTCCACCTTTGTCCTCCATTAGGTCAGGCTGAACTCTCCACCAGCTTCAAACCTCTGACAGTAAGACGAGTACACATTCAAAGCATCTCCTTTCCAGAGCATCCCCCTCCAGTCCTTCTGGAGTCTCTCCTCTCCATCCAGTTTTCTAAGTGTCTCTTTTTGTTTCTCTGGTTTCCTCTCAGCCTTGAGCATCTTCCTGGGGCCCAGCCAGCTCTCCTACATCTTTTGCCACCACACCCGGTTTTTGCAGTTCTGGGATGCAAGCCAGAGCTTCGTGGGTCCCAGGCAAGCACTCTGCCAATAGAGCCACATCCCCAGCCTCCTCTCTCTTTCTCTGCCTGCCCCTTCTTTGGCCAGCTGCCCTTGCTCCAGTCCCCTCACAGGCCTTCTTTTTCATGAAGCTAGCCTGAGCACCTATTCAGAGGACAGAAACTTCTGTCTCCCGCTTTTAGCCAAGGCAGTGCCAGTAAGGAGAGAATAGGGTTGGCTCCTCCTGTTTCTGGTCTCTGCGTCCCTTCCCAATACAGGCAGATTTCTTAGAATGACTTACCTTCAGTCAGTGATGAGGAACTTTTGCCAGGCCGCCTTACCATGGGTCTCCTTCTGAGGGCCAGCTGTGTCAGGAAGGGCTGTGGACTCCCCACAAAGAGAAGCAGCTCTGGGTGTGTGTGTGTGTGTGTGTGTGTGTGTTGTGTGTGTGTGTTGTGTGTGTGTGTGTGTGTGTGTGTGTGTGTGTACTCATGTGGAGGCAAGAGGTCAACTTCAGGTGTTCCTCCTCAGGCACCATCACCTTGTTTATTGAGACACCATTTCTCACTAGCCTGAAACTCACCAAGTAGGCCAAGTTGCCCCGTGAACATCAGGCACCCTCCTGTCCCCACCTCCCCAGCACTGAGATTATAAGCATGTACCACCATACCCAGCTTTGTGTGAGTATAAGTGTGCTGTATGTACATGATCCTGTGTATACCTGTGTGGGGGGTGCACTTGCAGGTGCATGTGGAGGCCAGAGGTCTACATCAGTGTCATTCCTCAATCATCAACACCGTATATGTGTGTATATATATATATATATATATATACACACATATAATTTTTTTTAAATGTGTATGAGTGTATTGCTTGCAAGTGTATAAGTGCACCCATGTCATGCAGTGCCCTTGGAGGTCAGAAGACAGAGTTGGATCCCCTGGAACTGGAGTTACAGATGGTTGTTAGCTGCCATGTGGGTGCTGGAAACTGAACCTGGGTCCTCTCTGAGAGCAGCCAGTGCTCTCAACCTGAGCTGTCTCTCCAGCCCCATCTACCTTTATCTTTTTTCATTAAACTGATGCTCACCAATTTGCCTACACTGGCTGGCCAATGAGCTTCAGGGAACCACCTGTCTCTACCCCAGCTTCCCCAGAGCTAGGGTTACGGGTACATTCTGTCCAGCATTTGCGGGGCATGGTTGGTTTGAGACAGGGTCTCAGTGTGTAGTCCTGGTTGGCCTAAAACTCACTATGTAGACCAGACTGGCCTTGAACTCACAGATATCCCCCTGCCTCTGCCTCCCAAGTGCTGGGATTACGGGTGTGTACCATCATAGCTAGCCTGCACCCAGCAATTTTTTTGTGGGGTCTAGGGATCTGAACTTAGGTCCTGTTTGCACAGCAGGCACTTTACAGATTGAGCCATTGCTCTAGTCCATCACCTTATTTTTTGAAACAGGATCTCATGCTGAACTTGGATCTTATCAGTCTGGAAAGCTGGCTAATGAAGTCCAGGGATCCATCTGTAGCTTTTATGTGGATGCTGGGGATCTGAACCCAGGTCCTCATGCTTGTGTGGCAGTACTTTACTGACTAAACCATCTCCCTAACTCAGTACCGAAATGTCTTAACTCTTTTCTATTCAGCTTAGATCTAACATTATACATCTTGTCCCCACGCAGGGAACTCCTTGAAAACAGTGAGAAATATGAGAATGTTGGGCATAAAGGTAAGTCCTGAGCCCCCTTCCCCATTTGCACTCTGGGCCCCTCCTGCTTACAAATCACTCCTTCAATGTCTGCCCCTTTGCGACCAAGGCCATCACCTAGCAGATGACTTCACATCAATCATCTCCTTTCACACTGCTTGACCTCAGCACCACTTGTTGTTCTTCCCACAGGACAACACACAGAGCCCAAACAGAAGCCCAGGGTAAGCAGCTCAGACTTGGGCCTGCAGGAAGCGAAGGGGTGCTGAAGATGGTGGAAGGTGGAGGCCTGTGGTGTGGGCAGGACACAAAGGCTGTGGCCCCTGCTGTATGATGGACAGCTGCACTGCCACCATCTAACTTCTTTTGTTTCTCAAATCCCCAGGATGACGGCATTGTCTACGCCTCTCTTGCCCTCTCCACCTCGACCTCACCAGGAGCACCTCCCTGCCTCCGTGTCCACAGGAGCCCCCAGGAAGAGACTCTATACTCTGTCCTAAAGGGCTAATGGACTGGGGGACATCTTGGGCTTCCAGTAGAGGTTGCTCTGCTTCCAATGATACCCAAGGCCAGAGGCAAAAACCAAGTCAGCAAATTTGAAGGTCACAAAGAAACTGGGAAACCCAACCCAGTTTCTTCTTTCAACTTGCTAGGCCTTGCTCACAGAAATAAAAATATTCACAGAATTTGCCTAAATGAATCTAATATGACCTTCAACTTCTGTCCCTCTCACCAAAATTGAACTCTACTAACATATCTAAACCTTTCCTCTAGCACTTTTTTTCCAGAGACCATTTCAGGCCAGGAAACACAAACCCTAAACACAGGTAACCAGCCCATAAGACAAGGTCTGTGCCCACAGTAGCCACAATCACTAGCACATGTTGTGACTGGTCTACATGTACCACCTCACTGGAACATCAGCAACAACCCTAGATAGTCAACATGAGAGATGTGGAAAAAGACAGATGATTAAGGCCCTTTCCTAAGGCCACGTATCTCCTAGGCAGTAGCTAAGCCAAGACTTGAGTCTTCTGGAGGTTCGCCCAGGACTAAGATTTCACTACTGTCCCCAGCTTCCTACACTCTCCAGGTGTCCCTCCAGAGAGGGCCGTGTGCCATAGTGAAACAGGGTAGAGAGAAAAAAGCCAAAGGAAGCACAGAAGAGCCAGTCACTCCAGAAACCTGTTTTATTAACGCATGGCTGCACAGCTGACTTGAATTTAGCAGCCAATCAACTACCCCAATACTTAACAGCTGCTCAAGGCTGAGGTTCCCTACTGCCCAGACCAGAGCAGGTAGGCAGGAGGGTGGGAGCACTCTACTCTTCAAAGAGGACAGCCAGGAATTCCTCTGACCTGTCTCTGTGCTGTGGCTCCCCTTGCCCCTCTGACTCTCCTCCAATATCTTCCATGAGTTGCCCGAAGTCCAGGTCACTGGAGGCTTCATCTTCAAGGGGGAAACTTACAGTCTCTTGCACAGGTGGCTCCTGGGATCCAGGCCCTTCCTTCCCCACTAAGGGATAGCTCCCATGATGAGCTGGTGGAGTTGGGCATTCTGACACAATTTTAACTTCTTTCTCCTCAGATAAGTTGGTGGCTAATGCCTTGTTTCCAGGAGCTTTAAATTTTTTCTTATGGCCTAAGTGGAAAAGGGACAAAGTTGAGAATCCCATTAAGTCAGTATATCCTGATTTTTGAAAGTCAGATTCCTACATTCCTATGTTTAAAAAAAATTAAAAAAGAATGATCTTTATCAGAATACAGAATATGGGCTTCAGGGTTGAAAGACTTGGATTCCAGCCATGTATCAGCCGTATGTTCCGCATGAGTTTTGAACAAATCTTCAACTTTTTGAGACTTAGTTCACTTGTGGGTCAGCAAGATGGCTCAGGGGGTCAAAGTGCTTGGTACCAACCTCCTGAATTCAATCCTGAGGACCCACATGGTAAAAGGAGAGAACCAACTCCTGTTGTTGTTCTCTGACCTCCATAAACACAACACGGTGTGTACAATGCACACACGCACACACGCGCGTGCACACACACACACAAAATGTAAAATGTAAAATATCTAGTCATAAAACCACTGAAAGTATTTGCAGGAACATCATGTAAGTATCTACCTAGCCAGACCTTGGTGACACTCAATAAATACTACCACTCCCCTCCCTGTCCCTGGATCTAATCAAACCAATAACATTGTTTATATAGTGTGTGCTGGGTTCAGTCAAAAACATGCTTTTTCATTCTGAATTTCATTCCTCCTCTCTCTCTCTCTCTCCCTCTCTCTCTCTCTCTCTCTCTCCCCCCCCCTCCTCTCCTGTATGTCTCAAAGCAGGGTCCTACTTGTAGAACTCACCATATTATATACACAGGTGGGCCTCAACCTCATAGTTCTCCTGCCTCAGCCTCCCAGGGCTAGGATTACAGGTGTGTACCACATCTAGCCTCATTTCTGTTTTTTAAGCATTTTTAAATTATTTGTTAATTTTGTGTGTATGAGTGTTTTGTGTGTATGAGTGTTATACCTGCAAGTATTTAAGTGCACATGTGTCATGCAGTACCCAAGAAGGTCAGAAAACAGTGTCATCCCCTGGAACTGCTAGAATTGGAGTTATGGATGGTTGTTAGCCACCATGTGATCTAACATGTTGATCTAAGATTCTAACATGTGGGATTGAAACCTGAGTCCTCTGCAACAGTAACCAGTTCTCTTAACCACTGAGTCATCTCTCCAGCCCTTCATTTCTTTTTTTAAGGATGAAAAGCTGATTGGGGCCAGGGTACAGAGGCACATGCCTTTAATTCTAGCACTCAGGAGGCAGAGGCAGGTGGATTTCTATGAGATTGAGGTTAGCCTGGTCTACATAGTAACTTCCAGGCCAGCTGGGGTTACAGGAAGACCCTATCTCAAAAGAAAAAAAGCAAATCTGATTGGAAATGTAGCTTAGAAACCCTTGGTTCTACCCCCAGCACCCCAATAAAACAAAACAGAAAAGCAATGGAAAGTTGTAGAATAGTTCAAAAGTGACGCAAGGATGGGAGGTGTGGACAAGGGTCTCATTTCCTCATGGCCTTAGGCCTTGAGCCTTACCTGGAGGGTCTGGGGCTGAAGTCCTCTGTCCTTCTTCCCCTCCCATTATGGGTGCAGGAGGCAGTAAGGCTTTGCTCTCCAGAGACTTCTTAACTGTCTTCTTTTTCAGAGCCCTGCCTTGTTCATCTGTCGTACCTGGATAAAACATCCCAGCCCCAAAACATGAAGGAAATGTGTTTCTCTAAAGGACAGCTTGGCAAGGCCAATGCGGCCACACATTATCCCCTGCCTTGCTCCACACCAGTCCCCTACCATCTTGGCTTTGTTTCCCCCAAGTCTCCTCCTTATGGTTCTCCTCACAGCCTGCCCTCTCCAAGAAGCCATCCTTGGCTATGAATTTTAAAGCTCTCACTTTTGATCTAAGATTCTGTAAACACAGAAAGGAGGAGGCTGACACTCCTGACACTACCAGTGAACCATGTTCTCAGACTACCAGCCAGCCATGTTCTCAGTCAGGCACAGCATGCTCTGCTTCTGCCCTGCCCTCCCCTGGCTGTGGACTTTCCCCATTTCTAGCTGTCTTGCTTACCTCTGGATTTGGGTTTTTTGGTCTGTATTTTAGGTGGCTTGGGTCCAGGCAAAGTTGTGTCCTTGAAGTGGGAGAGAAGATGGAAGGCAAACTGAGTCAGAAAACTATTTTTAAGGACTGAGGAGACAGCTTAGTCAATAAAGTAATTCCCTTGCAAGCATGGGGAACTGAGTTCTATCTCTAATACCAACATAGAAAAGCCAGGCATGGTAGAGCCACTTGTAATTTCAGAGCTGTAAAGGTGGGGCTCCCTGGTCAGCTAGGTCCAGAGTAAACAAGCTCCAGACTACTGAGAAACCCTGTTATCAGAACAATGTTGGGGCCGGAGAGACAGCTCAGAGATTAAGAGCACTGGCTGCTCTTGCAGAGGACCATATGGTAGCACCCATATGGTGGCTCACATTTTTCTGAAACTCCAGTTCCAGGGGGTCCAACACCCTCTTCTGGCCTCCCTGGGTATCAAGGACACATAGAGTGCACATCTATACATGCAGGCAAAGAAAAATAAGTACAGCAGGGCACGGTGGTACATGCCTTTAATCCCAGCACTCAAGCAAAGGCAAGCAGATATCTGAGAAATGGAGGCCAGCTGGGGCTACAGGGAGACCCAGTCTCTAAATAAATAAATAACAAATAAATCTGAAAAAAAAAAACCAAGGTACATAGCACTTCAAAAAATAAGGTGGATGGCACCTGAGGAGTAACACTGGAAACTGACCTCTGACCTCTACATGCATTTACACACACACCTGTCTTTTTTTTTTTTTTTTGAGATTTTTTTTGTCAATGTTCTTAACCCCTGAGTCATCTCTCTAGCCCCATCAACTGCCTTTTTTATTCACTGGTAATTTTATACATGTATATAATATATTTTGATGATATTCATTACCCAGTTCCCTTCTCTTATCCCCCGCCATTCGGTCTGAATCAATAAGTCCATGTCTCTTTTTTTTTTTTTTTTTTTTTTTGAGACAGTGTCTCACTATGTATCTCTGGCTGGCTTGGAACTCACAGACATCTGCCTGCCTTTTCCTCCTAAGGGCTGGGATGAAATACGTGTGCCACTATGCCTGGCATCACAGCCTCTTTTTAAAGAGATGGTGCTGCAGAATAATGGGTGGGCCTAAGGGAGTCAAATTACGTGATCACCTTCCCATCCTGTTTGGTATCAGTCAGTGCAAGGTTTGAATGCACAAAAAGAAGGAAACCACGTATCATTTTTAAAAAACCAAAACATAAATTAGAGCACATGAAATGGCTCAGTGGATAAAGGTACTTGACTCCAAGCCTGACAGCCTGGATTTGATTCTTGGGATCCACATGGTGAAAGGACCAACTTTCACAAATTGTCCTCTGACATGCAACCCCATACAAACAAATGTAATAAAAAAAATTTAAGACAAACAAAAAAGGTAAATTAAAAGAAAATGTGAGAAATCTGCTTCACAGTCATAGAAAAGAGATGCTAAGAAAAACGGGTGATGTCCTATGTTTCCACACAGGAGAAAGGAATGGAAAGAAGCAACCTGAAATTATTTTGAGAACCAAAGAAATAGAGTAGGAATTGAGATTGTACTCAGAAAGAATTTCTTAGAGATGTGAGAAATCCAGATAATGAGGAAGAAAAGGAAAGCCTTCCTCCCTGGAGATCCCTAAGAACCCCTCCAGGACTATCCTGAGGTCACAGTGAATCTGAGCCAACCAGCTAGCTCCTCACAGGAAAATCAAATTTTAAGCTCTTACTTTTTTCTCATTCTCCTTCCCCTCCACCGCGTCCTTCTCTTCTTTCTCCAAACAAGACTCTGGGCTGACCATTAAATCTAGAACAGGAGAAGGAAGGGTTGGTTTTGGTTTTACATTTTTTTGTTTTGTTTTTAAGGCAGGGTCTTGATCTCTAGACCTCACTGGAACTCACTATGTAGACCAGATTGATCTCAACTGACAGGGATCTGCCTGCCTCTGCCTCCTGAATACTGGGATTAAAGGCGTGCACCACCAATTTATCCTAGATACAGTTGGTGAACTGGAGGTGGTTTCAGGAACTCCTTCTTCCAACTCTGCCCTCTGAGGCCCATGAACCGTGTTCCCCCGTTCCTAATGGTCCCATCCTTTCAAAGTCCACTGCTATCACACTGACCCATTTTTCTTACTCTCTTTCTCCCACATCCCTCTCCCCACCCATCTGTCCTTCCATTCTAAACACTGAATCACATTCACAAGAGCCTCCTATTAGGGTCCAGGCTGAGGCTGATAGTGTAGGCTTGGGCGCCTTCTTGGGAGAGTCCCTGGCCCCTCTGGCCAGTCCTGGTTCTTCTCTTACCTTTTCCTTCTCCACTATTGTCAGATGCATTGTATCGAGTCCAGAAACCAAACAAGTTAACCCGGTCCTGAGGAACCAAGAATCAAAAGTGTCACCCATTATCTTCCCCGGGACAGCTTTTGCCCACCCTGTCTTCTAGATTTTAGTTATGATCAAATTCGTGTTCACATTCCAAACCACTTCACTTGAAATATAATGTTAGGTTTTTTGTTTGTTTTGAGACAGGGTCTCCCCATGGCCCCAACTGGCCTGAAACTCACAATGTAGACCAGACTGGCCTTGATCTCACAGATACCCACCTGGCCTCTGCCTCTCAAGTGCTGGGATTAAAGGTGTGAGCCACCATGCTAGGATTCATGACAGTTTTATCTGAACTTTTTTTTTTGGTCCTTTTGAGACAGGGTCTCCCTGTAGCCCCAGCTGTCCTGGAACTCACTATGTAGACCAGGCTGGCCTTGAACTCACAGAGATCTGCCTGCCTCTGCCTCCTAAGTGCTGGGACTACAGGCATGCACCACCATGCCCAGCTTAGCTTTTTTTTTTTTTTACTTATTATTTTTATTTTATGTGTATGCATGTATCGCCTGCATATAGGTAAGTGCACCTGTGCTGTGCAATGCCCACAGAGGTCAGAAGGGGCTGTCGGATTCCCTGGGACTGGAGTTATGGACAGCTGTTAGCTGCCATGTGGGTGCTGGGACTCAAACTTGGGTTTCCTGCAAGAACAACTAGTGTTCTTAACCGCTGAACCATCTCTCCAGCCTCCTGAACTTTTTTTTTAAACAAGATTTTGTTTTTATTTTATGGGTAAGAATGTTTCGCCTGCATATATGTAAGCGCATCACATGTGTGCATGGTATCCTTAAAAGGAAGAAGAGGACATTGGATCCCCTAGAACTGGAGTTAACAGACTGTTATGAGCCAACATACGGGTGATGGGAACTGAACCTGGGCCCTCTGCAAGAGCAGCCAGTGCTCTTAACCGCCGAGCCATTTCTCCAGCCCTTTTATCTGAACTTTTATGGAAGTTAATTATAATTTCTTTTCTAGTTTATTCATGAACAAGAAACTGAGGAAGAGTAATCACTATTTGTGAATTGGGGTTTCTTGACCCCTCCCCCCCCACCTCCTTCTAGAGGAATGACTATACATGAAAGGTTTGGGTATGCAGACTGAGACTTGAAGTTAAATAGAGAAGCAAGGGGGTGCTCCCACCAAAAACTGTCTCTGTTTGGGCTGGGCCGGGGAAAGGAATGGATGATTTAAGTGGGCATGGGAGTCTGTCTGGAAAGAAAAGATGAGCCCTAAGTTAAAAGCTGTGCCACCGGGAAGGTCACCATTTCCCACAGTGGGCAGTGTACAGTTCCTTTGTGTTGAACAGGAACAAGGATGCATCCTGAACATTTGCCCACCTGAATGCTGGTCTGTTCTGCCTCGCGAGCCATCTTTATAGCTGCCTCCAGTTTCTGATTGTAGTCCTTGTTCTTGCACTTTTTCTATGAAAGAAGGTTGGAGTCAATGATAAATATTGCCTTTACAATTAATAATAATAGAAAACTGGCCCCAATGTACCACCACCCACCACAGACATCTGCCTGCTTCTGCCTCCTGAGTGTTGGAATTAAAGGTATATGCCATCACATCTGGCATTTGTGTGTGTGTGTGTGTGTGTGTGTGTGTGTGTGTGTGTGTGAGAGAGAGAGAGAGAGAGAGAGAGAGAGATTCAACACTGTAGCTCAGGTTGGCCTGGCACTATGCAGCCTACTGACCTTGAACTCACGGTAATCCTCTTGCCTCTGCCTCCCAAGTACTGGGATTACCTGACTCAGACATCTTAGCTACCATTTTTCCAGTTCCCAATACTGTTACTGAATTATCTCCTGTTACTGATGTTTTGGGATTCAGACACAGTGCTTTCCTTCCCCCTAACATCCTACCAATTTCTAGCGGTTTTCCAGCTAATATTTTTATGTCTTCTGCACAGTGAATATATGGGATTCTGAAGGAAAAAAAAAGTTCAGGTGGCTCCACTTTTAACTTCCCACAAGTTCCTCTAAATTCAGTTGCTTAATTTAATACTCACAATGTGACTGTTCTAAAGCCTTGGATTTCAGGGCCTCTGTTTATTTTAAGGCTAGTCAAACCCAAAATTATCTAAGGGAGGAAATATGATTTCATCTTCCAGTTCCCTAGTATCACAGAGACTAGGTATGTTGCTCAGTTGGTAGAAAGCTAGTCTAGCACACATATGGCCTCCAGGACCACATAAAACTAGGCATGATGGTGCATGCCTGTAACCCCAGCACTTAGGAAGTAGAGGTGGCAGGATTAGAAGTTCATTCTCCTCTACGTAGTGAATTCTAGGCCAGCTTGGGCTACAGGAGACCCTTTCTCAAAAAACAAGCAATCACACACACACACACACACACACACACACACACCTATTTCCCTGCATCACAACAGATGCCCACTCCTGCTTACCACTCCTGTTAGCTCCAGAGACAGCTCCTGGAAGTTCTTCAGCATGTTGACTGGGATCCAAGCACGAGAAACAGCGTCTCCAAAAAATGTCACGTGGTACTTAGACTGCAATAAAAGATGGTCCTGTTTTGGTTCCTGCCCTTCACCCTGCTTTTCCCTTGTCAGGAAAGGTAGAGGACAGGAAGATTCACAAAGAAGATGTGGAGCTCATGTTCCCCAAACCCCAGTTCACCTACCTACCTCACCCCTGTCTTTCCACTCTAACTCCAAGAACCCCAGGTAAAGTTTATTGATCAAAACTAAAACACCCTGCTAGCTGGTAAATGTAACCAGCTATGAGTTCCCTTCTATGTGCATTTAACTTATCTCCATGTCGGTCACTATAGCTAAGTGTCTATGTTTCTAACTCTGAACATCTGTTAGGATGGATGTGCTACTACTTTGGCCCAAGCCAGGAAACTCACCGGCAGGGAATCAAGATGAGAAGCAAAAAGAAAATATTCCCCAAGGTCAGGATCAGATTCTACCATGCCTGGCCACCTGAGGAGACAGACAGGATGGGAGAGAAGGGTTATAAACAACACAACCTCATCAACATGTACAGAAAAGGGCACAATGTTTTGGAGAAGATCCAAAGATAGATCTCCTAGCCCCCACTGGTGGTCACTACCAAATGACTGGCATGACTTCCATCACAATACAGAAGAGCTCAGTCATCCTAGCAGAGGTGTGGTGCCACACCCGTGTGGGCCTTCCCACAAGCCAAGCACAAAACCTTCTGCTAAGGATGTTTGCAGAAAAGAAGTGACCCCACTCTTCCTGTCTCTTTGCTTTCCATGCCTCTCACATCTCAGTATTTAGAAATACCTTGAAGTCAGGCCTGGTGGTATATGCCTATAATCCAAGCACCAGGGAAACTGAGGCAGGATGTTCCAGGCTAGCCTCAACTACATGGCAATACTTTGTCTCACAAAAATAATAAGAGGCACCAGATCTCTGTGAGTTGGAAGTCAGTCGGATCTACATAGCAAGTTCCAGGCCATCCAGGGCTACACAGTGAGACCCTGTCTCAAAAAGTAGAAATTAATAATTAATTAAACAAACAAAAAATTGCTTTAGATCCCTCTCTGTCTTTTCTGCTTGCTCATAGTGTTAGGGTGATACTCTTTACTTCCAACAACAGTAGCACTGTCAGACCCTTTTTCCCAGAGATACCACCTCCACCCTGAAACCCACAGTCTTTCAAAGTCTCCCAGCTCAGTTCTTTATCTTCTCCCTCACCTCATGTTCCAAGTTCTCTTACAAATGCTTTTCATATCCTTCCCTCCCTGCTTGAACCTGCCACTCCCAAGTTCAGTCAGGAAGGATGCTCTATGCCACAGGGCCTACCAGGGGTAACCGTATTGCTTGGCCCAGATGATGGATCCTGGGACATAGGAGGCATAGGTCACATCACTCTCACACCCTGTCCATGTCTCTTCAGGAATATCACAGCGATTATAATTCACATCTGCCAAAAAAGAGAAGGGATGCAGGAATGGGAGGCTTTCAGGCAACATCAGAATGTGGGAGAGGAAAGAATATACGGGGAAGAATGGGAAACCTAGAGCAGGAAAAGCAGCGTGAGCAGGACCAGGAATGCCACCTTCAAATGCAGATTCCACATGCCTGCTCACCTCCCAGTATGATTCTCCCCTCTATGGAGCAGTGGGAGGGTCGTTTCACTGAGACTTTTTCTCATGTGCATAACTGCACAGGACATAATGAGCGTTACCCATCCCAAGCAGTTTCAAACATTCTAGAATGCTAAGCTTATTGGATCTTACCCACTTTCCCCTATGTGTCCCATATCCCTCTCTATCCACATTCTAAAAACAGTATTCCAGTCAGGATTGACAGGATCAGGCAATGCTGAAGACAATGGAAGTCACATATTATATACACCCAGGTTCCCTGTCCCTCCCCATGTCTACTGCCCACCCTCATGCCAGACTCTTCTGCATCAAACAACTCACCACAGGACCCCTTGAATGATAGCTGTATTTATGTCATATTAAATCGAAAGGATACATGCTGGGAAAGAAAGGGAGGAGCAACAAAAACTGAGGCAAAAGATTTCTAGTCCTTTCTACCTGGATTTTGGTCACAGGACCAATTATCTGGGAGAACTGAGGGGTCAGTGTTTCCAAGCAGCCGCCTCCATTTCTCACACTTTGGAAAGGAACACTGGACCCAGACTAGACACTGACCTGTGACAGGAAAGAAACTGATGAAAGGCAAAAACATGCTATTCCTCCCTCTATCCAACTAAACTCTATATAACTCTTCCACCATCCCCAGAATCACATCTCAGACTTTACATATCTCTGAATTATACAGCAGAATCAGGGCCAATCAAACTTGGTGTCAGAGCTGACCCTTAAGCTGTACTTCTTCATTTTTCACCTTTACCAAGCAGAAGGGATTGTTTCTGTATTGACAGGTCTTAAATAAAAAGGGGTGGAGTTGCCAGGCACGGTGGCACATGTCTGTACTCCCAGCACTTGGGAGGCAGAGGCAGGCGGATCTCGTTGAGTTCAAGGCCAATCTGGTCTACATGGTGAGCTCCAGGCCAGCTGGGGCTACAGGGAGACCCTGCTTCAAAAAGACCAAAAAGAAAAAAAAAAGGGGGGGGGCTGCAGTGTAGCTCAGTGATACCTTCCAAACTGGTGCAAAGTTCCAGGAGTCCATCCCCATCCTCCCAAAGGCGTTAACAAACTTGGGGCTAGGGAGATAGCTCAGTCAGTAAAGTACTTTTCCTTCAAAGTACGAGGACCTCCACATACACATACCCCCTGCCACGCACCCTCCACGTGCACACATACTCACACACCCATACCTCCCCAACCCCCCCAGAAAGCTTTCTGGATAGTGTCTGATTTTCTGCTGACATGACATTAATGTTCTTTTAAAAACTGAAGAGTGGGGCTGGAGAGATGGCTCAGTGGTTAAGAACACTGACTATTCTTGCAGAAGACTGGGGTTTGAATCCCAGCACCCACATGGCAGCTAACAACTGTCTGTAACTCCAGTTCCAGGGAATCTGACAGCCTCTTCTGTCCTCCACAGGCACTGCATAACATGGGTGCACTTACCTACACGTAGGCAATACACACATACACATTAAAAAATAATAATAATAATAAATAAAACATTTTTTTTTAAAAACTAAAGAGAAGCTGGGCGTGGTGGCACATGCCTTTAATCCCAGCACTCGGGAGGCAGAGGCAGGGGGATCTCTGTGAGTTCAAGGCCAGCCTGGTCTACATAGTGAGTTCAGGTCAGCTGGGACTACAGGGAGACCCTGTCTCAAAAAGACAAAAAACAAACAAACAAAAAAAACTAAAGAGCATCTCTTTTTTATTATTTTATGTGTATGAGTATGCTGCCTGCATGTATGTACATGCACCCATGTTGTGCAATGCCTGTGGAGGTTAGAAGAGCACATGGGATCCCCTGGAAATGGAGTTACAGATGGTTGTTAGCTGCCATGTGGGTGCTGGGACTCAAACCTGTGTCCTCTGCAAGAGCAGCCAGTGTGCTTAGCCACTGAGCCATCTCTCCAGCCCCAAGAGTATCTCTTTTAAATGTATGTGTGTATGCATGTGTGTGTATACATGCTGCATTTGTCCATACATGAATATGGAGGCCAGAAGATAATGTCAGTTGCTTCCCTCTATCACTCTCCATCTTATTTTATTTTTTTAAATATTTTATTATTTTTATTTCATGTGTATGTGTGCATTTCCTGCGTGTAGGTAAGTGCACTCGTGTTGTGCAATGCCTGCGGAGGACAGAAGAGGCTGTTGGATCCCCTGGATCTGGAGTTATGGAATTACGGACAGTTGTTAGCTGCCATGTGGGTACTGGGATTTGAACTCCAGCCTTCTGAAAGAACAGCCAGTGTTCTTAACCACTGAGCAATCTCTCCAGCCCATATTTTATTTTTTTTAGTTTTATGTGTATGAGTGTTGTTTTGTGCATGTATGTAAGTATACGATGTGCATGTAATGCCCGAGGAGGCCAGAAGAAGGCGCCCGAACCTCTAGAACTGGAGTTACAGGTGGTTGTGAGTCACCATGTGGGTGCTGGGAACTGAACCAAGGTCCTCTACAAGAGCAACCAGTGTTCCTAACCGCTGAGCCACCTCTCCAACCCTCTCCATTTTATTTTTTAAGACAGGGTCTCTCCTGAGCCTAGAAATTGCTGGCTAGCCAGCAAGTCCCCAGGGATCCTCCTGTCTCTACCTCCCCAATACTAGGATTACAAGTGTGCACTGCTGTGCCCAGGTTTTTACTTGGGTTTTAAGGACTCAAATTCGGGTCTTCATGCTTGGACAGAAAACATTTTACAGACTGAATCATCTCCACAGCCCTCTATCTTCTTTTTTTGTAATATTTTATTTATTATTTTTATTTTATGTGTATGAATGAATTGCCTGCATGTACGTAAGTGCACCCGTGTTGTACAATACCCACAGAGGTCAGAAGAGGGTGTCGAATCTCCTGGAACTGGAGTTACAGACGGTTGTTAGCTACCATGTGGGTACTGGAAACAGAACCTGGGTCCTCTTCAAGAGTAGCCAGTGCTTAACTGCTAAGTCTTCTCTCCAGCCCCTTCTATCTCCTTTTTGATATCTGGACAACCACTAAGGCACCACTCCCACCAGACCACATCTCAGCTAAGTACAGTCTGTTCCTTCTCACACTTCCTGTATCTCGAAGGACAGAAGGTGAGGCCAGCATCATCCTTACTCCTAGTACCATTCTACCTCTTCTTCTTACAAAAATCCTCTTCCTCTGAGGTCCATACCATAAGGCACAATCACCCTTTCATCTCTCTTCTTAATATAGGGGCATCCTACTTAGTCCTCTCTCCCTCCAGCCTTAAGTCCAGATGACTGCCACATCCATGGAAATACCTCACAATCTTGGT